GAGTGCACAAATTTTTGTGCACCGGGCCTCTAGTCAATGATAAGAGAGAATCATTGATTGGCTGCCTCCTGCACACCCCACACTGGGGATCAAGCCCGCAACCCGGGTATGTGCCCTGACTGGGAATCGAATTGTGACTTCCTGGTTCATAGGTCGACGCTCAACCACTGAGCCATGCTGGCCGGGCAAAAAAAAGTTTTTTAATATTATATACTGTTTTCCAGATTTGTGCGCCCATCAATTTCCCCCTTCTTCCTCCCCTTCTTTAAAAAAACATAATACTGCTCTGGCCAGGGTGGTTTGGTTGAGTGTCCTCCCGTGCACCAAAAGATTGCTGGTTCAATTCCCAGTCAGGGCCTGTGCCCAGGGCACATGCTCAGGTCATGGGCTCTTTCCCCAGTTGGGGTGTGTGCAGGAGGCAACCGATCAATGTTTCTCACATCAGTGTTTCTCTTTCTCTCTCCCTCTCCCTTTCTCTCTCTAAAAAATCAATAAAAAAGTTTAAAATAAAACAAACAAAAACATGATACTGCCCTGGCCTGGTGGCTCAGTTGGTTGTAGTATTATCCCGTGCACCAAAAGGTTGTGGGTTTGACCTCTAGTCGGGGCACATGCGAGAGGCAACCTCTCCCTTCCTATCTTTCAAAAAAAAAAAAAAAAATCAAAAAAATCAATCAAACCATATTCTTGGGTGAGGATTAAAAAACACACACATAATACTGATTAATACAAAAGGATCTAAATAGAAGCTTGGTAACTGAGCAGGTATGTGTTACTTTAATCCTGTGCGTGGAAATCTTTACCAATTATTTTCAGAACTCAGTTGGGTTTCTGTTTGCATTCATTCCTCAAAGCAAGATGGGAGAGAATTTCATATGTAAATTTAGGAAAAGATTTGGGAAATGTTTTAGTCAATCAACTCACGTTAAAATTAATTTTGAATGTGCCAAAACCGGTTTGGCTCAGTGGACTGAAGGGTCCCAGGTTCGATTCCGGTCAAGGGCATGTACCTGGGTTGCGGGCACATCCCCAGTGGGAGATGTGCAGGAGGCAGCTGATGGATGTTTCTAACTCTCTATCTCTCTCCCTTCCTCTCTGTAAAAAATCAGTAAAATATATTTTTAAAAAAAAACTTAAAAAAAAATTAATTTTGAATGATAACATTTTTATAATTGAAATAGAATAAAGAATTAGGTTTTATATCAGAGAATAACTTATTTCAGTGAATACAGTTTTGGTCAGGAATGGTTTCAGTGCAAGAAACAGAACCCAGTTAAATTTAGCCCAAGAAAAGAGGATTTAGCATATGTAAGTCTTTAAAAAGTACTTACTGACTTTAGGGGGAGGGGGTGGAGAGGAAAAGAGGAAGGGAGAGAGAGAGAAAGAGAGAGAGAGAGACATCAATTTTTATGTTTCACTTATTTATGCATTCATTGGTTTATTCTTATATGTGCCCTGACAGAGATTGAACCCAAAACCTTGGCACATAGGGACAATGCTCTAACCAACTGATCTACCTAACCAGGGCCTTAGCATATGTAACATAATCCAAGGAAAAAATTGAACAATCAACAGGGATTTGAGCAGTTGTGTATTGCTCATGGATATTTTTCATTCTGTATTATGCCACTAACTTGACTCAGTTTTCAGTTCTAACCATTCTAGTTAGTGGCAAATCAGTTGTAGTTAGAAGGGGTCACATGTAAAGCTGTCCCCTCCAAATGAAACATTTGTAGAGGTAAGAGGAAACAATGGTCATCTTTAGTAAAATTGCTATTTAAGGGAGTGTTTTGAAACACAGCCTTGTTTGTCACTCTGTAGTAGATAACTTGAATTAAGAATAGAATGTTAGGTTGTTGTATACTTTTTGACAAATAAACTGTATCTAATGAAAAATCTCAAGGCACTAGATACTTACAATGTAGCATGCTATTTGAAATACTGGCTTTGGTGTAAGATCTGCCAGGGTTTGCGTCCCAGTTTGACCACTTGATTATGACTCTTGAGAAGACAAGAATGGGAACATTTTCACATTTACCCCTTTAATGCCTAGCCCTGTCCTTGATAATAAGCACTTGGTAAATTTTTGTGGAATAAATGAATTAGCTTCTCTGCATGTTTGTGTCTTTATGAAATGAACTAGAGGCCCAAAGCACGAAATTCGTGCATGGGTAGGGTCCCTAGGCCTCGCTGGCGATCAGGGCCGATCTGTGGGGCGACCGGTGGGGTGATTGGGGGGCCCCGCTGGCACCTGCCTTGGCTGGCCTGGGGCCTGCAGGCTTGGGGCAGCTCCTGCGTTGAGTGTCTGCCCCCTGGTGGTCAGTGCGTGTCACAGCGACCGGTCGTTCCATAGGTCATTCTGCCGTTTGGTCGATTTGCATGTTAGGCTTTTATTATATAGGATAATACTCCCTCAGCAGTGTTTTGTAGTTCAAGTGAGAAAATGTTTGAGGCACTTAAACACAGGGCACAGCTAATAGCAATACTCAACACAGCTAATAGTATATGTAAAAGCCATTCTTTCAGAGAGGAAGAGAGAGGGAGAGAGAGATAGAAACATCGATGAGAGAGAATCATCAGTCGGCTGCTTCCTGCATGCCCCACACTGGGGATGTGCCCGCAACCCAGGCATGTGCCCTTGAGTGGAATCGAACCTGGGACCCTTCAGTCCGCAGGCTGACGCTCTATCCACTAAGTCAAACCAGCTAGGGCTTACCTAAAGCAATCTATAGATTTGATGCAATCCCCATTAAAATACTAATGGCATATTTCACAGACCTAAAACAAACTCTCCAAAATTTATATGGCAAACCGGCTAGGGCTAAAAGTCATTCTCTTATTATGGCATGCTGGCTATATATACTTTGGCATGGCAAAGGGATAGATATTTACAGCTTTTTGTGTTTTTTGAGGTATGTGCATATACATGTGCATGTTTTAAAGTGGAAGCTCTTCCCACAGATGTAATTTTCTTCCCATAAAGGATGGATACAGAAAGGGGAGAACCTAGTAAATGTTGAAACTTTTCTTTAGAACCAAACAAATCAAATAGGGGCAGCGGGCAGTGAAGATGAAGGTGTGATTGAGCTGCTGTGCTCAAAGTATTTATAAAAAAGTTCATGCTCAATCATAGAGAAGTTCTGTCTAGAATTGATGTATCCATCTGTTCATTTAACAGATATTGAAAATTATATGCCAGGCCCAGTCTAAGACATAAATATGAGTTGTAACTTACTTTTTTTTTTAAAATATATTTTATTGATTCTCCACAGAGAGGAAGAGAGAGGGAGAGAGAGCTAGAAACATCGATGAGAGAGAAACATCGATCAGCTGCCTCCTGCACACTCCCTACTGGGGATGTGCCAGCAACCAAGGTACATGCCCTTGACTGGAATTGAACCCGGGACCCTTCAGTCTGTAGGCTGACGCTCTATCCACTGAGCCAAACCGGTCAGGGCTGTAACTTACTTTTGAGAAACTTTCAGTTGGGTGGGGAAAGAGAATATGTAGGAAAGTAGTCATATAGTTGAGAAGTTATGTGATTTCAGAGTTTTTAAAAAAATAAACTTTAGTGAATTCCTTATATTGGGATAGAATTTAACCCACGTAATTTATTCTTTTTAAAAATATATATTTTTAAATTTATTTCAGAGAGGAAGGGGGAGAGAGAGAGAGATAGAAACATCAATGATGAGAGAATCATTGATCAGCTGCCTCCTGCACTACCCACCCTGGGGATCGAGCCCACAACCCAGGTATGTGCCTTAACCAGGAATCAAACTTGTGATCTCCTGGTTCATAGGTTGACGCTCAACCACTGAGCCACACCAGCTGGGCTCACATAATGTGTTCATAAAGCTTTTGTCTTCTAAAAACAATATACTTTCTAACCTTTTTAGAAAGCCACTTATATGGGCCTTTCTTTAAAATTCCTTTATTTGAAAATAGAACATAGCTAAAGAAATATTTAATAAGGAACTGTTTACAGTATTGAATTGAGAAGAGTAACCACAAACAGTTTTGACACTAGGAGCTTGAGTCCCCGTTGTTGATTGAACATGAACAGAGGAATTTTTTTTTTCACAACACAATCCCCCTTAGTTTAATCTGCTTTCTTTAATTTTGAAGGAGATGGACGAGCACATGAGGAGCATGTTGCATCACAGGGAACTTGAGAACCTGAAGGGCAGGTATGGGAACCGCTGTCTTCCATAAACTTCTGAATGTGGGGGGAGCTGAGTACGATGAGACCTGTCAGCCTATTTTAGTTATCCTTCATAAAGAATATTATCTTATGGCATAAAACTATCTTTTAGGATTAATAACAAGTACTATAGATTTTTTGTCATTCAAAAAAATTAAATCTTTTGTGCATCTCAAATGTGTAGAATTCTCAGCAGCTATAGTAAGTAGATTATAACAAAGGTGTATTGGGATGAACTAGCAAGCTTTGTCATTCCTACACACCAGCCTTGCAATTAGGACATTTTATTGCATGTAATAAATGTTTAGTGTTGCCAGAATAGTCTGAAAAGTCCAAAGACTGCTAAATAGTACAAAATCTCATTAGTGTAAGAAATCAAAGTGCTGCTTTGTGATGTAAGGCTGGAGATGTTTAAGGAAAGAAAATGTAGTAAGTAAGCACCTTTAAAAAATTAAGTGTAGCATATGTGTGTATTCCATTGTCATTTTTTTCTTCTATGGTTCCATTTTTTGATGTTTTGACTTTTGTGGACTTGATATTTGAAGGCAATATGAAACAGAAACATTGGGGAACTGAGAAATATTAATTATATCTTACTAGAGGCCCGGTGCACGAAATTCGTGCATGGGTAGGGTTTCTAGGCCAGGCCGGCAATCAGGGCCAATCGGGGCCTTCCTTCCCCGGACTTCCTTCGTTCCGTACCGCCCCCTGGTGGTCAGCACATGTCATAGTGAGCAGTTGAACTCCCAGTTGAACTCCCAAGGGGACACTTTGCATATTAGCCTTTTATATATCTACACTAATAAAAGAGAAACATGGTAATTAGCGTACGACCGCTACCCTTCACATTGGCTAATCAGCATATCCTTATGCAAATTAACTGTCAGCCAAGATGGCGGCCGGCAGCCAGGCAGCTGTAAGCGAACATGAGGCTTGCTTGCTTCAGTGAAGGAGGACTCCAACGTTCCCCGCCTGCCTTGCCGGCCTCTG